TAATGTATCTATATCTGATGTATTTTAAAACCAACTGCTGAAAGTATCTATGTCTAATAATATATTTTAAAACTGAGTGGTGAAAGTATCTATGTCTAATAATATATTTTAAAACCGAATGCTGAAAGTATCTATGTCTGATAATGTATTTTAAAACCGACTGCTAAAAGTATCTGTGTCTGATAATATATTTTAAAACCGACTGCTGAAAGTATCTATGTCTGATAATACATTTTAAAACCGAGTGGTGAAAGTATCTATGTCTAATAATATATTTTAAAACCGGGTGGTGGAAGTATCTATGTCTGTTAATATCTTTTAAAACCGAGTACTGAAAGTATCTGTGTCTGATAATATATTTTAAAACCGAGTGGTGAAAGTATCTATGTCTGATAATATATTTTAAAACCGACCGCTGAAAGTATCTATGTCTGATAATATATTTTAAAACCGACTGCTGAAAGTATCTATGTCTGATAATATATTTTAAAACCAACTGCTGAAAGTATCTATGTCTGATAATATATTTTAATTATTTCTATATTAATCATTCGTTATAACTTCAATCTATGAAAAACTACTTCAAACTACTCGAGACTAATTCACATAGGTTTGTTTCTGTGTTGAAGATATGTGATCTTTAGACACTTTTTTTATTCATTTAGAAATTGGTATTTGTGTTCATCCTGATATTGGTTCTAAAAAAGTATTACTTATATATGTTTCCAAAAACAAAAGACAAATATTAAATGTACAAAACCTTTCATTATTTGACCAGTGACGATAACGAACGTGCCGGTGTTTTGTTTTTCAACTACCTACTGTTACTGAGGCAACACAAATAATTTCATTGTTGTGAAATGACGGTTTTTGTTGAACAATTGGTAAGGTAATATATTGTTGACTGCCATAAAACGTTTTACTGCTATTTCTGTATTGTTTCCTTATAAATTATTCATTATTAAAACACAAGAGTCCCAGACTTGATAGGCTTACTTTTTGTGATAAAAACTACACTAATTAAAAGTATGTTCATTAAGATATTTATGCTGGATTTTTATGTATAGATTAAGAAGTAAAACAGGGTTTTTTATCTTTATCTTATTTCCCTTCCTATATCTTTTGTATTTTGTCGCAGTTTCAAGAACTGTCTTCAATCGTATTCTGATTAAAGAGTACAAACTAAGCTCTCAGGCCAATAACAGCCCTTATTCAGAGACCCGACTAACTTACTGTCATTCATTACAAAATATATGAACTGTTATAGCATAACATAAAGCGAAGGCCTTCAAAGCTGTCTCAGACTGAGGAAAAAGGAAATTAAAAACGAAACTCACCTTTTATTTTCAGTATGTAACTAAATCCATTCTCAGCCACCTGAAAAGTACCCGTCCTTAGAATTTCTGAATGTAGTTCACTCCATAAGCTGACCAAAAATATAACTGTCTTTAAATGGAGACTAGCCTATCCTTTCCATGTCATAACTCGTGTTCGTTTGTCTTTACAATTCAAATAAATAAATATATCTGAGACTTTTATTCTTGCAGTCACCACACTGGAAGTACGTTCCTTGTTTGTTTTTCGAAATTGGAAAGCAATAACAGACAATATATTTAATGGCAATTTTTTTTTTCTTTTCAAAAATACGTAGTTTTCTTCTAACTAAATAAATTGATTATGTTTCATTATTCTCTGATCCCAAACACTTATTCGGTAACACTGATATACATATTCGTGACATTTTTATCCGTAACCCGCCCTGGTGAGGCCTGAAGGTTGGGGCGCTCGACTCGCAATCTGCGAGACGCAGGATCAAACTCCGCTACCGATTATGCTCGCCCTTTCAGCCGTGGGGTCTGTCATAATGCGATGATAAATCCCATTATGCGTCGGTAAAAAGTTGTCAGTGGGTGGTGTTGCCTTATCTCTAGAGTCTAATATATTACTGCTAAATAAGAGTTGTCAATGGGTGGTGTTGCCTTACCTCTAGAGTCTAGTATATCACTGCTAAATAACCACCCATTGACAACTCTAAGGCAACGCCTCTAGAGTCTAGTATATCACTGCTAAATAAGAGTTGTCAATGGGTGGCTTTCCCTTACCTCTAGAGTCTAATATATTACTGCTAAATAAGAGTTGTCAGTGGTTGGCTTTCCCTTACCGCTACAGTCTAGTATGTCACTGCTAAATAAGAGTTGTCAATGGTTGGCTTTCCCTTACCTCTAGAGTCTAGTATATCACTGCCTAGCTGATAATGGACTATACTAAAACAATAATTAACTATAATTAAAACAAAGATTGGACATACACTTATTTTGCTACAAAAAACTCTCTTCTTGTGGAGGCGGGGGGGGGGGATTTTACCTATAAAGTTGGATAAAATGGAACCACAGGATGGGAAAATGACTTTCATCAAATTAATAAAAACAGCAATTTAATTAAATGGTGCATTTAGCAACCACATTTAAATCACTTAAATCAGTATTTAAATATTCCCGGAACGTATCAGGAAGGTCTTGCACACGTTGAGTAGAATCTAGAACACTGGCGCAATGTGGGGCAATGACGTATATTATGGCCGAAGCCTATGGTGGAAATATATACCATTGGTGTGGGGCAAGACGACATGGGGGAGGGGTGTCTTGCACTGAGCCACTTATTATAAAAGAACCACATTTTACATAATCGGTGTATTGCTTCTATAGTACATGTACGCTGTCTACAATACCTATTTGTTTGAAATAAACAAAGGGAAATCTTCTGCTTACTTTAGATCAAAGTTATTAAAAAAATGAAGTCGTCCGTTCGCCGAAGTGTTTATATCATAAAATTAAACAACCTGTTTCATACAGTAAAATATTTCAATTTGAGAATGATCTAGTCTCAAATAAAAACATTTTTACTATAAAAAACTTGGCTTGTAGTAAAGCACAAACTACACAATGGTTTATCTATGTTATGCCCACTAGGGGTATCGAAACTAGGTTTCTAGCGCCATAAGTCCACAGACTTACCACTGTGCCATTAGGGTGCATTATGTAAAACAAAAATGGTTATTGTTTATGATTTTTTGCAAATGTCCATACAATAATTTTCATAATAGTTACATATATATATATTCTAGATGGCAGCACTTCCTGACTGGTGATATAAAGGTGGTGGTCGTTTTATTGAAGGACCTTCTTCTGCTTCATTTTTTCCTGTTTTCTTAAGTTAATAAGCACTTCTTTATCTTCGGGCCTATCTTCTGATGAACGTTGACAAATATTTCAAAAAAAAAAAAAGAACATCACAAAATAGTACTTACATGGTTGAAAACTGATTCAAAATAATTTTAAAAAATGCAATTATAAATGAGTTTCCGTGGGAAAATTTATTAGAATTTTGGCGAAAAATATAGTGGGTAAAATAAAATAATTCCGTTTAAATGCTGTCTTGCAAAAGTTACGCTTTAAATGCCGTAAGTCAGTAAAACACTAGAAACCAAGAAGTCTAAATGTTGTGGTGAAAAAAAATGTAAACTTTGGATTTTCCCCCCAAATACCTCACAATATTTCCATTTAAATCAAAATTAGAAGTGTATAAAAATACGAGTTCACAATACAAAAGATAGATACTATTTTACACGCCTCTGATTTTCAGTCAGAGACTAACAAATTGAGTGGGGGAAGGGGGAATTTACTGTTTTGCAAACAAAGAGAACAAACTAATTCTGAAACATAAATATTAGACTTAGTTCAAGAAAAACAAAATACATAAATAGTTAATACTACAGTAAATAGAGAAGGATTAAGAAGTGGGTTTAATCAGAATAATAGTACGAGAGTAAAAATAAATCAAAACTAACAAGTCGGAGATAACAAACGAAAATGATGATTAAAGTTCGAAAATAAATTGTTAAATAGGCGCGTCCCAGAGGGTCGGGTTACAGGCTTACAATAGAGCACAGATAGCCCATTGTGTAGGTTTACATTAAAATCAACAAACCAGTGTATTTTCATTGTAAGTTACATTATGACCATGGTTTTTCAAAGTGTTCAAAGAAATTTGGTTCTGTCACTGCAAATAGTAAAAGTAACAATAATCTAAATGTAGGGGGCGTATCAACAGTAGGCCTGAGTGGACCACGGTTCGCCCATTTATCATCCATATCAACCCAATCATAGTCTGTTTGATGTTTTCAACATCTGAATACGTCATACGTAGGCTATTTTCTAACTCCCTGTAAATTGCCCATCCATCGTAACTTCAGGCCCACCCAAAAGTTTGTAGTTGGCTATGCAACTGCCTGAAAGACAAACTTGTTTCTTCCTTTTGGATTTAAACTAAATATATTCCACTCCTTTTATATCAATTGTAATTAAGATATCATTCATGAGATCAAAGAAGAAATAAAAGGAATAACAGACAGTCCAATAGCCGCTAACCTTGAACACAATACTTAAGCTTTAACAACGTTAAATTGTTGTTTTCATTATTGTTGAACGTTAGATTATTGTTTTCATTATTGTTGAGCGTTAAATTATTGTTTTCATTATTGTTGAACGTTAAATTATTGTTTCATTGATGTTGAAGCTTGAAGTGTTATCTGTTTTCATTATTGCTGAATGTTAAATTATTGTTTCATTGATGTTGAAGCTTGAAGTGTTATCTGTTTTCATTATTGCTGAATGTTAAATTATTGATTTCATTATTGTTGAGCGTTAAATTATTGTGTTTGCGTTATTGTTGAGCGATAAATTATTGTGTTTTCATAACTCAACAATAATGAAAACAATAATTTAACGTTCAACAATAATGAAAACAACAATTTAACGCTCAACAATAATGAAAACAATAATTTAACGTTTAACAATAATGAAAAAGACATCGATTTAACGCTCAAAAATATTGAAATATTTTGAATACAAGTCTAAAAAGGTTATCATTTCATTGTATAGGCCACTGTTAGGCTACATTTTGAGTATTGTGTTCAGTCTAGGGCTCCTTACCGTAGGAAGGGTATTGAATTGTTGAATAGGGTTCATAGTAAGAGTTTGTTCAATTCTTGTGTCTTAATAATGATATGTTGAATTAGTGAGTCTCAGTTACTGAATGTAGAAGTTATGTGGATCAGTAGTAGTATGTTGAATTAGTGAGACTTGGTTACTGAATGTAGAAGTTATGTGGATCAGTAGTAGTATGTTGAATTAGTGAGTCTTAGTTACTGAATGTAGAAGTTATGTAGATCAGTAGTAGTATGTTGAATTAGTGAGTCTTGGTTAGTGAATGTAGAAGTTATGTGGATCAAATAGTAGTATGTTGAACTAGTGAGTCTTGGTTAGTGAATGTAGAAGTTATGTGGATCAATAGTAGTATGTTGAACTAGTGAGTCTTGTTTACTGAATGTAGAAGTTATGTGGATCAGTAGTAGTATGTTGAATTAGTGAGTTTTGTTTACAGAATGTAGAGGTTATATAGATCAGTAGTAGAATGTTGAATTAGCGAGTCTTAGTTAATGTAGAGGTTATATAGATCAGTAGTAGTATGTTGAATTAGTGACTCTTGGTTAGTGAATGTAGAAGTTATGTGGATCAGTAGTAGTATGTTGAATTAGTGAGTCATGTTTCCTGAATGTAGAATTTATGTGGATCAGTAGTAGTATGTTGAATTAGTGACTCTTGGTTACTAAATGTAGAAGTTATGTAGATCAGTAGTAGTATGTTGAATTAGTGACTCTTGGTTACTGAATGTAGAAGTTATGTGGCTCAGTAGCAGTATGTTGAATTAGTGAGTCTTGGTTACTGAATGTAGAAGAGGTAAAAGAAGATATTGAAAAAATAAAAAAGTTTGATCTGGCATATATTACTTTAGCTTTTATTTATTCTACAATTTGTAATTTTAAAAGGCTATTGTTAAAATTATTATATCTGATGTATTAGATAATATCTAAGAGAAAGATCTTTAATTAATAATAAATGATAAAAAACATTAATGGGCGTAAAGAGAAATAAAGTTCACTAAATGTTTCAAACATTTACGAAATATTAGTGAATTTCCTTGATAAAAACAAATCACACTATAAAGACATTCAGCATGACCTTCTCACTTCATCATCAATTAACAGTCCAGGATCCTAGCAACGTG